TCTTCATTTAAGAAAACAAAACATCCCATGTGTGTTCTTCTTGGAATTGTAAAGTTTTGATTCTCGCAGGAACGGGCCATGTTAGTCCATAGGCCATCAGCCCTTATAATATATTTCTCTTGAGCTTTTCTCATGAAGGAAAAAAGATCCAACAGAAGTTAGTGTTGGGGAATCCGAAACAATCAAATCAGATCCTTACTCTTTCTGACCTTATGTTGAAAGTAGGAAAGTAGAAAATTCACCAAAAATAAAAATCAAAACTTGTAAAGAAGATAAAAGAGACGAACACACAGATTTAACGAGGTTCGGCAACGTGCCTACGTCCTTGGGAGCCACACCACACAATTCCTTTATTAATTGAAGAAGAATTACAAACTCTCAAACTAGAGTTTTATCTCTCCGAGATTCTCTCTCTTTTCTACAGTAAAAGACTCTCTTTTTTCGTGCTCTATCAAACCCTAAAACATTTGGGTATTTATATTAAACTCAGCCCAAACAGAATTCCTAAACAGTTTAGGAAACTGTCAAACAGCGTCGCGGTCGACCGCTAAGTTCCCGCGGTCGACCGTGAAAATTGACAAAGCCTAGAAAGGTTACATGGTTTGGCGCGGTCGACCGTCAAGCCAGGCGTGGTCAACCTTGATCAAAAGACAGAAACTAAAATCCTACAGGGTTTGTGCGGTCGACCGCCACGGTCGATCGCGATCAGCTCCAGACTCTCCTGAGCTCCTGTGCACGTTCGCGGGCGACCGTCGCAAACTCGCGGTCGACCGTGGATCAGTCTGGCAGTTTTCTTCCTCGTTCTGATTCCAGCTCCGGCTTCGACTTTGGGTCTACACTTTAGACTAACAATCTCCCACTTGGAGACCCAAGTGCCTTCAGTGAGTTCACCTGAACTCTCCACTTCTTCACATGTATCTTCTCCTCCCCCGAAAAATTATTTCTTCAATCAACAATATCCCGGCGATCTCCCCGATCCTCGTAGTTTGGCTCTGCATTCGTCTTCTACTCATGAAGGCCAACTGAAGTTGCGCACAACTCCAGTTTCTCTATGGTGACTGCCTTCGTCATCATGTCCGTCGGATTTTGACTCCCTAAAATCTTCATTAAATGTAACTTTCCGTCTTCAACTAGCGAGCGTATAAAATGGTATTTGACGTCGACGTGCTTCGTTCTGGCATGATATACTGGATTCTTGATAAGATGTATAGCGCTCTGACTATCACAATAAAGAACCCCTCTCCCTTGCTTCAAATCTAACTCTTCCAAACACCCGTTCAACCAGATCATTTCCTTGCTTGGTTCGGTCACCGCAACATACTCAGCTTCAGTTGTAGACAAAGGCACAATCTTCTGCAGACGTAAGACCCAGCTCACTACTGTCGACGCTAAAGTATAAACATACCCTGTAGTGCTTCGCCTCGTATCATGATCATTGGCGAAGTTCGCATCCACGTATCCCTGCAGCACCAACTTCTTTCTCCTGAAACATAGTGGTTTGTTAGTTGTTTCCCTCAAGTACCGTATTATCCACTTCATGGTCTCCCAATGCTGCTTCTCTGGATTGCTAGCAAACCTGCTCACAACTCCCACTGCATGGGCGATGTCCGGCCTCGTACAAACCATCGCGTACATGAGACTCCCAATGATCGAAGAATATGGCACCCTGCTCATATACTCTCTATCTGCATCTGTCTTAGGCGATTGCTTTTCAGATAGCTTGAACTGACTTCCAAGGGGCGTGCTAATAACCTTAGCATTCTGCATATTGAACCTCTGAAGTACCTTCTCGATATGTTCAACTTGGCTCAACCTCAATGTTCCTTCAGCTTCATTCCTACTGATTCGCATCCCTAGAATCTGCTTCGCTGCACCCAGATCCTTCATTGCAAACTCTTTTGCTAGCTGCTTCTTCAGACTGTTTATATTTTCTAAACATGATCCTGCTACCAACATATCATCAACATTAATAACAAGAAAATGAAGCTTGACTCGAACCTTTTGAAATAACAGTAATGATCCGAATTGTATCTTCTGTAGCAATTGTTTTGATTGAAGTTGTCAAACTTCTTGTACCACTGTCTCGGAGCCTGTTTTAAACCATATAAGCTCTTCTTGAGCTTGCACACCATTTCTTCCTTTCCTTCTTCAATAAAGCCAACAGACTGTTTCATGTAGATTTCTTCATCCAAGTCACCATGAAGAAAGATAGTTTTCACATCTAACTGCTCAAGAAAGAGATCTTCTGCAGCTACCAAACTCAATATCACTCTAATGGTTGTGAGCTTCACAACAGGGGAAAATATCTCCGTGTAGTCTACTCATTCCCGCTATTGAAACCCCTTCACTACTAATCTAGCCTTGAATCTCTTGCTTACACCACTCTCTTGCTTGACCCGATAGACCCATTTGTTATGTAAGGCATTCTTCTGTGTAGGTAGTTGGGCTAACTCCCATGTCTCATTAGTGAGTAGAAAATCCATCTCCTCCTGCATCGCATGCTCCCACTACTGAGACTCACTCACTTGCATTGTCTCTTCATAGCACTCCGGTCACCGTTGTCTGTCAACAATAAGTAGTCAAGAGATAAAAGATATCTGTGATTTGGTTTGGGTACCCTAGATGACCTCCTAAGCTCCATGCACTAGGTAGTTTCTTCTGCACCTGGAGCCTCCTCCGTTCTGTGGTCAGAACAAATATCATCACCCCTATCTGGAAGTTCCTCTATATCCATGTATCCGGATCCACCTACATCCGAAGTGCTGCTCCCACTGCTTTGGCTATCCTTAGCATTTTCCCTGTTCTTGTACATCACCTCCTCATTGAATATCACTTCCCTGCTTCTGATGATCTTCCTGTTCTTCTCATCCCAAAGACGATACCCGAACTCATCAATACCATATCCAATGAATGTGCACTTCTGTGACTTAGTTTCTAGCTTATCTCTGACATGGTCACTGATATGAACATAAGCCACGTAACCAAATACCCGCAAGTGTGAGAGATTTATCTTCTTTTTACTCCAAACCTCCTCTGGAATCCTAAAATCCAATGGAACTGATGGCCCATGATTAATAAGGTAAGCTGCTGTATATACCGCATCAGCCAAAAATATCTTAGGCAGACCTGCATGTAATTGTATGCTCCAGGCACGCTCCGTCAAGGTCCTGTTCATCCTCTCTGCAATGCCGTTCTGTTGCAACATCCCTGGAGTAGTCCTCTCTAAACGAATGCCATTCGTAGCACAGAACCTCTTAAACTCCTCCAGCTCGTATTCTCCACCATTGTCTGATCTCAGACACTTCACCTTCAGATATGTCTCGTTCTCCACCATGGCCTTCCACTTCTTGAAGACTCCAAACACCTCTGACTTATGCTTCATGAAGTAGATCCACACCTTCCTCGAGTGATTATCGATAAATGTGACACAATATCTCGAACCAGCAAAAGAAGACACACTGGCTGGACTCCATACATTTATATGAATCAACTCTAGCTTCTGAGCCTTAGGCGGCCTTCCACCTTTCTAGAAACTAACCCTTTTCTGCTTCCCAAAGATGCAATCTTCACAAACCCCGACTTTCACGGCGTTAATCCCGGTTAGCTTTCCCTGTGAATGTAAGATCTTCATCCCCTTCTCGCTCATGTGCCCTAGCCTATTGTGACACAGATCTGTACTCTTTTTTGCCAGCTGTAATTACGAGGGTGTTACTCGTATATAAGATGAGGTAGAGAGTTTCTAGTTTGTTGCCTCGAGCAACAACCATTGTACCGTTGGAGATTCTCCACGAATCCCCTGTGAATATCGAAACATAGCCTTCTGCTCCAAACTGTCCCACCGAAATAAGATTCTTCTTCAGCTTCAGTACGTATCTCACGTTTTTCAAGTTCCACTTAGAGCTCTTCATCTGAATCTACACTTCGCCCTTTCCAACAATATTACATGGCTCGTTATTCCCCAAATACACTTTTCCAAAGTCCCCTGCTACATAATTTTGAAAAAGCTTCCTGTTAACAGTGGCGTGAAAAGAGGCTCCTGAGTCGATGACCCAAGAATCCGAGTCGCTATCCATAGCAAGGATCAATGCATCCTGCACGATATGTACCTCCTGCTCACCCGCATCCTTCTTTGGACTCTTACAGACTGAAGACATATGACCCTCTTGACCGTAGTTCCAGCACTTCCCTTTAATAGGTCTAACCTTCGAGTTCGACCTTTTCTTCATTGATTTCGACCGATTCCTGTTCTTGTTTCCTTTCTTCTGGCTTCTGCCTCTCTGTTCAAAGTTTAGGGCTGAACCTGAACATTCTGATTCAGACGATTTTCTTGTAACATCCTTGGATAGAATCATGCTAATAACCTCACTCAGTTTCAACTTCTCCTTCCCCACCGAATTGCTAACTGTCGTCACACAACCTGCCCAACTATCTGGTAACTGCGATATAATCAATAGGGCTTGCACTTCATCATCAAACGTGATGTTTACAGAGATGAATTGATCAACAATCGTGTTGAACTCGCTGAGATGCATCGTGAATGACCGTCCTTCTGCTATCTTGAGGT